ACATTTCAGATTATTATGACAATCAATCTACAAGGGAAGTTTTAAATTAATAATATTTGTTTATTGGTGACATCATAACATATAGTTAATATTCAAAACACATGTTATCAAACTCCCTCGTACTGTCTTCATAACTAAAACCTAATTTTACTAATTTATTTATTAACACCCATCACATCAGTATAGCTGAGGCAAACAATCCGAATGGCTGTCGTTTATTGTTACGTTATTTTCACAATACCGAGATTACTATTATCAATAACAAAAACATGAAAAAGACGCAACAATTTTATCAGCCTCCGGTTTTCTTGCAACTGGCCGTAATGGCTTCGATGGAAAATCAAAAAAGTGTTATCGAAATTAAGTCGGCTATGAGGGACAAAGACAAAACCGACGAGAAAAAAAGTGTTAAAATAATCGAAAACGAAATAAGTGAAGACGAAGACGATCACGGAAGAAATTTGTTGTGGAACATGAGAAGGCGTTTGAGTTTACCGTTGCAAAGGGGGTTGTTAAGGAACAGTTTCAAAATACAACGGTCGCAAAGCATTGCCGAAAATCACATCAGGTAGGGACTTTATTTCAATGATTATATAATTAATTACGTGACCCAGTTGATAGTAACCAAATTATTTTTAACTTAAATTGGCCTTGTTTTAGCCAGAACGATCGTGTGTGTTATTTGTTTAAATTAATTTAAATTTTTTGATAAGTATAAGGACGTATTATTGTTTATATTTAATGTAACTGAGTTTTTTTTTTATTGGATTCTCATTTCTCGGTTGGAAGCTACATCAATTTTGCAAGCTTATATTGATTTACACATTGAGCTGGCACACTTTTCAACTTTAAATAATTTAGAACCAAACGTTATTGGGTCAACAAAGTTTTATACCCTAATAGCACAAAATATTCAGAGAATGTTCCAGTAAAGTCCTGCGAAAGTTTGAATGTCCTAGACATTGAAGGAATGTTCCTGGAATATCTTTTTAGGTATGTTCACAGAATATTTTATCAGTATATTCTATGAATGTTCTAGGAAAGTTAAGATTTTTTAGACATAAAATGAATGTTCAAGGAATATTTCTGCAGGACGTTCAGTCTTTGGCGTATGAATATCGATCGTGTCACGTGATTTTTATATTTATAAATCTATCTGATCCACCATCACGAGACAGCCATTAGCCATTCCGGTTTTCTATGAACTAGACATTCCTGGTATATCCTAAGTAAATCCAAAAAATGTTCCCTGAATGTATGTAGAACATACGAAGATGTTCACGGAACATTCAAAATGCTGACAAAGGCTTTTCCCTGAATGTTCCTGGAATGTCTTAGAACATTAGGAGACATTCATGGAATGTTCCTTATGTCCTAAATGTATGTTCTGCGAATGTACATGGAATGTTATGTGCTATTAGGGTAATAGAACAACGGTAGAATCAAAAAACAATTTAGCGTTACGTTAACGTCGTACCAAGCGACCCTGCAACAAAACAACCAATTCCGAAAGTAAAATCTGAGTCGTATTGACGTTGTCGGACGACTTTTGGTGTATCTACATTTCAGTATTCAACAATATAGAATTTTGACAGTGTTGGCAAATTTCCTTGTCTCAGCTTTTAGAGACTCAAGTAACACTAACTTTTCAGTATACCTATAGAATATATTATCTATTCTTACAGAAATCACAAACCAGCTAACTTATTGAAAATAGTCAGAAAATTGGTTATTGGCGATTTGCACCATTCCAAAACGCTCTGACTGGTTTGTGATTTCTGTGAGAACAGACCTATGTGAACTATAAGTGCATGAGCGAAACAACTGGAAAAACAGTTCTGCCACCTATTAGAGAGAAGCGTAATTGGAAGGTATCGCCCTCTATTAGAGAGATACATAAACCTATTGTTACTTGAATACAGTAAAACCAAATGATCAATATAATGAAATCCAAGAGTGCTGTCCGGAAATTGAAAAATTGAGAAGTTCACCCCACATTGCTTAACGTGATTTTATCTCTGGAAGTATAAGTCCAAATGAGCTGAAATTTTCAGGGATTGAAGTCCTTTACTGAAATAAGAACAAGAACCGCTGGAAATTTCAGCTTTATATCTTCAATAGAAAAAAAGTTATGAACTTTCAAAGTTTTACAAAATCTAAGTCATAAGGTAGCTAACTCAATCTTAGTAGGTACTGAAACGATGAAATTTCAAAAAAAAATTGTTTAGAATTTGCGTCCTTATGGTCCATTGGGATCCCCCAAACTCCACACACTAAATTATTCTGAAGTTTGGAGTCGGATTCTATGAAAAAAGGCACTCAAAGAAATTGAAAAATTGATAAATTACCCCAAATTGCCGAACGCTTTGAGCAATCAGGCGCTCTGAAGCTGCTCTCATTTTCCTCGCCTCTTTTTCCTGATGCACCTGTACCTAACTGATTTTCAAGCATTTGAGTGCAAAGCGCATCGAGTATAATGGCTATGAAGAGAACGGTGGTCCCTGGTTTCACTAGCTTTGTTTGTTTATTCGTACCAACAAGGCACCAACCAACACTTTCTACACCAAACGTTTTTGTTTATCCAAGGTTTATTCCTATATTTTTTTTTGTATGGGTCTGACAGAGACAAACTGACTTTTTGGTGCACCTGGTGCAGTCTGGTGTAACTTTGATACAAATAGACAAACAAAGCCCGCAAGAAGTCCTGTTAGTTAAAACTAATTTCGATGCTTTTTTTTTCACTTGCTTCTAGAAAAAGACAGAAATAGTCTAAGTACGCACTGAATTTACAAATGGGAATCGCTTGCAAAAATAGTTATTTATGTCATAAATAAATACCGATAATCAAGCTCGTTTGCTCGAGCGCCCATGTTCGGAGCAGTGAAATGTGTTCCGAATGATTTTATATTGACATGACAGTGGAAATCGATGAGACAAAGATGGCGCCTATTTTCAAGTGAACAAATTTGACAGACGTCGTAAATTATAGGGACAGCCTTTTATTTTTCCGAAATAGCTATTTATGGCGGTGATCTTTTTTTAACTGTCAGTAATGTACCCAGTTACTTTTGGTGACGATGGTATTTGCTGCAAATCGTTCCAAAATCAAAATTCAGTTTACTGATTTACTGGCTTGGCAAGCTTTTGAAATCCACAATGACATATGCGCATTTTCACCGATGTAATGCTGTCCTTGTCATTTGACAGCAGCAAAACAAGGATAGGTTACTCCTCATCAAGAGAAATGCGCATAAGCAATTGGTGAATTCAAAAACTTGGCCTTCCTTCAAGAACCCTAAATCTTAATAGAATGGCTTATCTAGCTGAAAGTGTCTGCCATGTCCACGCGAAAACTCCCCACTATCTGTGTCATTTTGACGTCAATGTAGACCTCAAGACTTCAGTGACGTCACGACTAGTCGAAAAGCGAACGTACGCCTTATGCCTCATTCTCACTTGCGCGAAATTCGCTCTTCTTTTGACATTGCTTCGACAATTTGACGTTTGATACACGCATAAAAACGTCAAATTGTCGAAGCAATGTCAAAAAAGAGAGAATTTTGCGCGTTGTTGGCCTTCCTTTATCCAATTTTCTTGTTCTTTCTTTCTGTTCCAAACCGTTCCTTGTTCACTTTGGAGCATAACGAGTTTATCTGACGGCCGTTCCCATATTACATTAGTTGTATTCCCTTCACACCTAGGAGGAGCTCCGGAACAGCTCCGGGGCGTTACGCGCTTATTCCTTTCGAAAAGTGTTTGTTGCACCCCGCATCTTTCCCTTTAAAATCATGTTGACTAACACCGGAGCGAGTAGCTCGAGTGTTCCAAACTCTTGAAAGGAATACAACTATTATGAGTATAGTCCGCCGCAAAAATATTGAAGGACCCTTTAGACAAGAAAAGAGAGAGGACTGGTAATCCGTCAAGCCTGCGTGTTACCGGCTGGCCCAAGACCGTTTAGGCCAGTGGCGTATCACAAAATCATACGTAGTTAAAACGGTAAATGTCTAAATGGTTGATCACCACGCCAAAATTTACGATTTTTTCAGGATATACGCATTTTGGGGCGTAAATTAGGAAATAATCAGTTTATTCGCTCTTAATTAGTTTTTAGGACTTTTTTAAATTAAAATCGAGTATTTAAATGGTCTACGCCAATGGTAGATTCAAAAGATTTGACAGATCAATTCAACAAAATTATTGATTTTTCAATGGAAACATTCAAAAATAGGAAATTATATTTAGGCCCGTAATTTGCTTACACACAGTATAATATGATACTTATAGGGCATGTATGAAATCTGTTCCCAAATATAAAAAAAACGCCTGTATAATGATGGTTTTATTATGCATTGTTTATTAATTACCTGTGAAAAGATACTCCTGGTTCCTTTTTCTCGCTACGACGTTTACACTGAAAAGCACAACAATTCACCAACTTTTTAGTCACAAAATCACAAAATATCAACACTGCCACAGAAGCTTGTTTGCCACAAATAAAATGGCGGCCGGTCAATTGATGTAACAAAAGCCTAGCATTGCGTTAAACCAGTGCGCGGTATCCTCTCCCTTCCCTAATCTAATGGCGTTTCCGATTGGTAGATTCAGTGCGCACTGGGTGTATTTGCATCCTTTTAATCGACCTGTAGGAGAAAAAGACAGAAATAGAAAAAATTGCACTAGTTCCGCACTAAATCTACCAATCGGAAACGCTATTAGGAAGGACCGAAGGAGTGCGACCGCGAACACACACAACTCCTACGCATTATTTGTTGTCCTTTTCTAGTCAACAGGCTATTAAGTATATCTCGATCGTTTTGGTAGGCTTGCTAGGTTCATAAAATCTGTCGCTATAAGTTCTGTCGCATTGGCTTCCTCTTCCCCTTGAGGTCATCCGTCATGATCTGTGCTGTGGACTTCAACAAAGGCGGAACACTCTTTCTCATGGAAACGCTGCTCCCCTGTTTCAAGAATAAGGACCTTAGAGGTCATTCCAAGTAATGGAGCAAAACTCGCCGATCATGGAGCAAAATGAAGCAAAGCTCGGAAAACAAAATGCGCATATAAAACCTCCAAAATTTTCACCCGTGTTGCTAGGAGATATTCCTCGTAGCTGTGTAGTTCGCTTTCATGTGCAGTGTGCGAAGCACCTGGAGCATTTCACGCCCATTATACTCAATGCGTTTTGCACGCGAACGTTTGAAAATCAGTTACAGGTGCATCAAGGGAAACAGGCGAGGAAAGTGAGACCAGCTTGAGAGCACCAAACTCTGTTCGCCCGAATGTGTAAAATTGTAGCCGGAGTACTTCGGCCTAATTCGAGAGCGTTGAGCGCTCAAAGCGTGGCACCCGGAAGCCGCTCGTCATGGAGCGAGTCATGGAGCAAAACGAGCTGATCATGGTGCAAAATAGAGCAAGACTCGGAGAACAAAATGAATATGATCAAATTTCAGAATTTTCACTGAGGGGGCTGGGAGAGATTCTTGGTCTGTAGGTCTCTCCTGGTAATGGAGCAAAACTCGCCATTAATGGAGCAAAACTCGCCGATAATGGAGCAAAACTCGAAGAACAAAATGAGCATGTTCAAATTTAAAAAATTTCATCGGGGGGGGGGGGCTAGGAGAGATTTTTGGGAGCTCTGTAAGTCTCTCATGGTAATAGAGCAAAACTCGCCGATAATGGAGCAAAACGGAGCAAAACTCGGAGAACTAAATGAGCATGTTCAAATTTGAAAATTTTTACCGGCGGGGGGGCTAGGAGACTTTTGGGAGCTCTGTAGGTCTCTCCTGGTAATGGAGCAAAACTCGCCGATAGTGGAGCAAAACTCGGAGAACAAAATGAGCATGATCAAATTTCAAAATTTTCACCGGGTGGGGCTGGGAAAGATTCTTGGAAGCTCTGTAGGTCTCTCCTGGTAATGGAGCAAAACTCGCCGATAGTGGAGTAAAACTCGGAGAACAAAATGAGCATGATCAAATTTCTGAATTTTCACTGGGGGGGGGCTAACGTTAATTCAGCCCCCCCCCCACCTAATAGGCCACATAGTCTCTCCACTGTAATGGAGCAAAAATCGAAATTAGTGGAGCAAAATGGAACAAAATGAGAGCAAAATTATGGGATAATTTTCATCCAGAAATTTTCTTTGGGGGGGGCTAACTTAACTGACCTTTCAGAAAAATTGAAAAATGATAATTTACCCCAAATTGCTTAATGCGATTTTATTCCTGAAACTAGTCTAAATGAATTGAAATTTTCAGGGATTGTAGTCCTCTACTAGGATAAGAATCGCTGAAAATTTCAGCTTTCTATCTTCAATAGAAAAAAAGTTATGACATTTCAAAATTTTCCAAAATCTAAATCATAAGGTACATATTATCAGGTCTTCAAAAAAAAAACCAATCAAAGATTGCTATGGTTTTTTAAACGTACGTCTTAGCAATATTTTTCTTTAATTTTGACAATGTCAGTCAATGAAATTTAATGTCAAAATGTCATGTCAAAAATCCTGACCAATAAAGAAACAATAATGCGACGTACGTTTTCGTAACCAAAGCAATCTTTGATTGGTTTTTTTTTTGAAGACCCGATACCTTAGTACTAAAACGATGAAATTTCAAAAATTGTTTTGTTGAGAATTTGCGTCCTAATGGTTCCTCTGGGATCCCCCAAACTCCATACACTGAATTATTCTGAGATTTGGAGCCGGATTCTATGAAAAAAGGAACTCAGAAAAATAGAAAAATTGATAAATCACCCCAAATATTGCTTAACACATTTTGATTTCTGGAACTATAAGTCCAAATGAGCTGAAATTTTCAGAGATTTTAGTCCTCTAATAGGATAAGAATCGCTGAAAATTTCAGCTTTCTATTTATAATAGAATTTAAAATATGGTATATTGAAGAGGGCTTAACCAAACATGTGCAAACTATACCTATACAAATTATACATAATATGTTTGAATTGGAAAATGGTGATTTTCAAGAATATGTAACCAAATATAGGACATTTCATTTGAAGAAAGTTAAAATTATTCCTATAAAATTTCTCAAAAACTCGACAATCTTTGTATTTACCAAAGATGTATTCACATTTTTCTTCTACCTGTAAAGGTATATAAGAATAAGGGATGCAGGTGGGGGTCAATACATACAAACACCCTGTTCTTTTGCCGGAAACTGAAATAATAATATTTTTCATCAATCAATGAATCAACCCTTTATCACCCCCCCGTATAGGATTTATTGAAGTGAAACTTCTTTATGCATCGAAGGGTATGCAAGTTGCTATGTAACGAAAACATGCAACGCTTATGAGCATTAAAATCAATTCTTTAACCCTTTTCCATGGTATGTTTGTGTATTTGAAGTAAACCCCAAAACCATTTTACCATACCAAAAGTCCAGGTATATAACATTTTTTTTCTTCTAATAAGTGTAATTTGATTAGATAAAAGACCCATAAACTCTAGGAACAATTATAAATCTATGGCCTCTTACCTACGCTACTGGAAATACCCGAATCACATTACATAAATTCACGTGTCAAGTTAAAAATGGCCCTCATCGGCAGGTGTATGACCTGACTATACATACATACATATACAGTATTGCCAAATTTTTTTGACTCACAGTTTTAAGTTTTGAGCAAAAACGTTTTGTCTAGACTTCATTGCTCAAATAGAAAATGTTATAAAGATAAATTAATGTGCTTCAAGTGTGTACCTACACCTAAAAATATAACAACTATTTTTGGTTTAATGGACCTTTTAACCGTTCCAAACGGGCAAAAACATTTAGCTTTTTTTTTTCCTCGATGAAATCGTCAGCTGTTGTCTTAATACATAACGTTACCATGGACATTTCGAACCCAAAGGTAAAAAGAAAGGAAACCAACCCATGCGATGTTGCCTAGAGCAAGGAAATTTCTTTGATTTTATTGGAGTGTGGTTCTTGTAGTTGTGAAACTCAACAACTTGAAGTTTATAGATTAAGCTGAGATGGAAGTTTTCTCAACCTAATCAGCATAAAGAGTTTGTCTTAATTTTTTTGCATGTGGTAATGGAGCCCAGAAATATTCTTAATAAGTTTCCAAACAGAAAATGGAAAGTCTTTCCTTACCCAGAGAAATAGGATTTTTTTCTTTATGAAAACTATGGTATTTAGTAATAAGTTGGTTCATTATACTTACTAGACTCTTCTACAGAATAATTTTTATAAGTAGTATCTTGAAAGTTCAAGTTTAGACAAAAATCCTTGACGGCAACGTGGCCGAATGTCGCGTGGACAGAGAGAGAGGAGGATTGGTAATTCGTTTTGGAGTCAAGTTGGAGGTTGGCAGTTGTTCAACGGCCGCCTTTTGCGATCTATAAAAGCGTCGGGCGCCGCCGGTGTCGCAGTGTCTCGGAGTTTTCTTTTATTTTCTTCGACAAAAACTTCTTTTGATTGCGATAATATTTTTGTTTCCTCGAAATTTTTTTTTTTTCTGATTGTTTTGACTCTGTTTTCAAGTAGGTAAACCCTTGTTCGAATATATTATGTAGGTACGGCTCGAAGGACCAAATTGTCTGGGACGTTTTTAATAGCCAATTGAGTTGCTAAACTATATAGCAAAGTTATTTTACAACTTGATGGTTTTATTAGAGCCAATAAGTATAGGTATTTTATTAATGTAGGCAGCTAAAGAGTATTATAATTTTACCATAATGAAACGTTTCTATATCGACCACTTTCGAAACATTTCACAACTTAGAAAGTCAAATTGTTTTATAGAGACTTTGAGCATGTTTTTCATGTCCTCTATATAACTTTTATAAAACATGATTGTACTTATATTGAAGTTTTACGACTAGAGAAAACACCAACTGAATATTTATTTCAAATCACTGTTTTCTGAATTTACTTCAGAAGTGTTTTAAATTGCTCAGATGCATGAGATCTAAAATTGGTTCCAAAGTTCATTAAAATTATGCAAACGATGTCTTAGTCAAATTCAAAATTGTCTTAAATGTAACAGTCTGAACAAGCTTCATCTCTGAAACTATTCAGACGGTGTCTTCATTAACTTTAAAAGCGTCTGAGATGAACTCTTGAACTAAAATATATGCTTTAAAAGTGTCTGAAATTACTCAAAATTTGAAGTTACTACAATAGTGTAAATTCACTAGATAAATGTCATCTGAAATTACTCAGAAAATGTTTGAATTGAGGAAATGTATCAAAAATATCCAAAAGCTTTAAACGTGTCTGAAATAAGCCAAAAGAATGTCTTAAATTGTTCAGAAAATGATTGAAATAAATGTCCTTTTCACAAATCACTAGACAATTAACGTAATCTAGAATCACTCCGATGAATATTCAACTACAAAAAAAGTCTTGAACTACTTAGATAAAGTCTAAATAAGCTTTGAACTTTATTGAAATTATGTAAACGATGTCCTGAATCAAGTTCTTAATTGTCTTAAATCAGATAAGTGTCTGAAACTACTTAGACGATATTTACATAAGCTTCAAAAGTGTTTGAGATGATGTCTAAAACTTAAATACCTACCTAGATTTTAAAAGTGTCTGAAATTACTAAGACAATGTCTAAATGAACTGATAAAGTGTCTTAAATCACTATAAGTTTGAACTGACTACAATACACTACATACTACTAGATTAAACATCATTTGAAATGACTCAGAAAATCTTTAAATTGAGCAAGTGTCTTAAATTATCAAGACTATAAATAAATTAAGATTTTCAAACCTGTCTGAAATCACTCAGATAAGTGACCATTTCACAAATCACTACACAGTATTATCTAAAATTCCTTAATCGATATTCAACTTACTGGTATCTGAATAACTCCTAAAAAGTATTGAATTATTCAGGTAAGGTCTAAATTAGCTTCAAACTTTATTAAGATTATGCAGACGTTGTCTTATTCAACTTCAAAATTGTCAAATTAAACAGTCTGAAATAGGATCAAAAACTGTCCTAAAAACTTCTTAGACGGTGCCTACATAAGTTTCAAAAGTGTCTAATGTTTAAAACTTAAATAGGTTTTAAAATAAGTGTCTGAAATTACTAAGACAAAGTTTAAATGAACTGAAAGTGTCTAAAATCACTATAAGTTTAAATTGACTACAATACACTACATACTACTAGATAACAGAGCTGTTGTACTGAGTATTTTGAATACTTGAAGTAAATACTTAAGTACAAAAATATACTTAAGTATTAATTCAAACATTGGTACTTGTACTTGCAATTTCAAGTTTTTCAAATTTTACTTGTACTTAATACTTAAAATATCAGTCAAGTATATTTTACTTGAAATTTTTTGAAAATTTGTACTTAAGTGATATTAAATTACTTAAGTACCAGTGAAATTACTTGAAGTAAATATTTTTAATTGAAGTATTTTTAAATACTTCAAAATTTACTTGACGACTAAATAAAGTTTTGTCTATTCATCACGTGACTTCATAAATACACGCAAAAATTGCAAAACCTATTTAAACTGACGCAGCAATAGGTGTGAGAACGCTAAAACAATACGATAATTTCGATAAAAGCTCTACTCCAACTGACATGAGGAACGTTCTAGAACGGTAATTTCCAGTCGATCAATTCATTTGTCAAGTAGGATAAACGTTCAACTTTTTGAAAAATAGGTGGGCAACTGGAAATTATTGGCTCTGGAACGGTTTTCATGTCGGTTGGAACAGAACTAATATATGCAGTATAATCAGAAAACGCGTGCCAGCGCCGGCTATCGGACTCGATGTGTGCATATGACGTCACAGTGCTAGGAGTGGGAACTTTATACCACGGTATCTTCGCAACGGTTGGTCGTAGCCTAGTGTGGTTTAAAAATTTGTTCTTCGATTCTTATCTTCTAAAACTTTTATTTTTGGGTCACCCCCCTGGTGGAGTTTCCACCTTATACTATGCAATAATGCGCTGGCGAGTGTATTTTAATGAACTGTAATTATTTGTAATATTTTACAAAGTAAAGTTTATTTTATTTTTTTTAAGATAAAAGTCAAAATGACATTATGTTGGCAATACAATGTAAAATTGTCAATGCTTTCAAACTTTTTATGTAGAAAAGGCTTGTGTTGCCAACATAGTTACTAAATTTTTGACTTAAAAAACAGACTTTATTAATGTAATTAATGATCTGAGTTATTGACTTATAACTTAACAAAAATGTCATGATATTGAAAAAGAGAGAAGCTCTATAATACAAAATGACAGTTATTTATTTTTATAAAATTGACAGTCATTAGATTTGCACTGACAGTTATTTGACAGAGATATATGACTATAAAGAATTCTTGTTTCTAGTTAATTACTTTGGGCTTGTACACCCCCTTTAAGATTATCGATTGTAATAATTTAATTCGTTAGTTTAATTCGAACAATACTTGAAATAAAAAATACTTGAATTATTTTTCGAAGTATTACCTAAATATGTCATTTCAAGTACGCAAGTTTAAGTAAATACTTGAACTTAACTCTGACTTTCGTGGAATTTGTTACTTGTACTTGAATTTGGGCGATTCAAGCCAATTTACTTGATATTTTAAGTATTTCCTTCTGTACTTATACTTGTACTGGTACTTGATTCGTATTAAAAAAGAAAATTGTACTCAATACTTAAGTACTTTTTCTTGGTACTTACAACAGCTCTGCTAGATAACATCATCTGAAATGACTCAGAGAATGTTTATATTAAGCAAGTGTCTTAAATTACCCAGACTATAAGTAAATTAAGATTTTCAAACGTGTCTGAAATCACAAAGTAAAGAGTGTCTTAAAATCACTCAGATAAGTGACCATTTCACAAATCACTAGGCAGCATTGTCTAGAATTCTTCAATCGATATTCAACTTACTGATATTTGAATAGCTTCTAAAAAGTCTTGAATTATTTAGATAAGGTCTAAATTAGCTTAAAACTTTATTAAGATTATGCAGACGTTGTCTTATTCAACTTCGAAATTGTCAAATCGGACAGTCTGAACTAGATTCAAAAATTGTCCTTAACTTTTTAGACGGTGTCTACATAAGTTTCAAAAGTATCTTAAATCACTATAAGTTTAAACTAAGTACAATGCACTACTTACTATTAGATAATGTATACATGCATTGAACAAGTATCCTAAATTACCCAGACTATAAATAAAATAAGCTCTTGAAACGTGTCTGAAATCACGAAGTAAATTCTAGATAAGCCAAAAGAGTGTCTTAAATTGCTCATAGAATGACTCAAGCAAGTGCCCTTTCTGAAATCAGTAGACAACATTATTTAGAACTTCAAACCTTTATTCAACCTACTGATATCTGAATACCTACAAAAATCTTGAATTATGTAGATCATTAGCTTCAAATTTTATTAAAATTATGCAGACGATGTCTTAGTTAACTTCAAACTTGTCTGACTGCCACTAATATGTCTAAAATTATATTCAGACGGTGTCTACATAAGTTTCAAAACATCATCTCAGACAGATGATGTCTAAAACTGAAATATGTTTTAAAGTACGTGTCTGAAATTACTAAGACAAAGAGTAAATGAACCTATAAAGTGTCGTAAATCGCTTAGAAAATGTTGAAATTTAGTAGAAAACTGTTCCAAACTAATCAAACTATCCATTTCATATTTAAATGAGCTTAAAACTACCGAGCAAAGTTTAGATAAGCTAAAATAGTGTCTTAAATTATTCTTATAAGGCAGTCAACTTCGAGTCAATTTGTAAAACAAAACAATCATTTAAAAAATCAATTACTACTTAGCCAAGAAAATCTTCTATACAAAAATGCCAAATTTCCATTAAACCGCCCGTCCACACCGTTGCCAATATTCCGATCGCAATCATAGGTCAACGTCCGACCGACCTGCCCCTTCTCGTACCCACCTTCGAGATCGGACCAGTACCACCGAACGAGAATGGTACTGACCGCGATGACGTCACGCCGAACGTGGCACCGCGCCCGGTCATGCGCAAACAGCACAGCGAAACTTGCATGACCACCCCCACAGATGGTACTATGCTGTATTTCGTGCAAGGTTTCGAATATAACAATGGAAAATTGCAGACGGTCAAGAACAAGTTGTTACGAAAATCTAGGTGAGAATTTGTCGTAGTATTCTTATATGATAACTTTGTACTCAATTAATATAGGATTGAAAAAAACAGAAAATTCCTCGGAAAATTCTCCCTTATATAAGAATGCTCGAGGAGTGTCTCACGGTTGGAAATAGGTGTAAAAATCTCAAAATAATTTCCGGAAATGTTGAGAAATTACAGAAATTTCCTGTAAATTGTCACAAATTATGTTGATTCTCAGAAATTATAGAAAATGTCAAGAACTGTAAGGAAATTATTCGAAATATTGGGAAATTTTTCGAAATTATAGAAAATTTACTGAAATTATTATAGGAAATTAGGAAATTTTCACCAGAAATCTTTGAGAATTTTTATGTATCGCATATTGTTTAGTTCCTGTTCAATAGTTTTTGAATAAAAATACCTAACTGCTAACAAAATAAAGGTAAGTAAGTAGGTAGGTAGGTACCGATGTATAAACACATCTCATAAATCGTAGAAGTCAAGCTTCATGTTGTTATTTTCTACTGGAAAAAATATAAAATTTTGGGAAAATGAGCTTCTAACCTTCCTCACTAAATGTAGAAAGTTTCATATTTTTCCCTATCTGTACTAGTTTTCCAGAAAAACTGTGAAATGTGTGAGACTTTATTTTCATAATTAATTCAGTTATTGTTAGTTGATTTTCAATATTTTGTATGTTCTAATTTTCTAATGGAAAAATTTGAAATTTTGGGAAAATGAGCTCCTAACTTTCCTCTTCACATGCAAAAAGTTCCAAAATTTTGCCTCTATTGGTTTTTCAGAAAAACTTTGAAATTAGTGAGAAAGTATTTTCAAATAATTCAGTTATTTTAAGTTTATTTTCAAAATTTCTCATGTTGTTATTTTCCACTGGAAAAATTTATAAATTTTGGAAAAATGAGCTCCTAACCTTCCTCTTTATATGTAAAAAGTTTCAAATTTTTCCCTTTATCAGTCTTCCGGAAAAACTTTGAAATGTGTATTTTTAATTAATTCATTGTAAGTTGATTTCCAAGATTCTTCATGTTGTTATTTTTCACTGGAAAAAATTTAAAATTTTGGGAAAATGAACCTCTAACCTTTCTCTCTACATGCAAAGAGTTTCAAAATTTTCCCTTCACTACATAGTTTTCCGGGAAAACTTTGAATTGTGTGAGACTGTCTTTCAATTTAAATTCAGTTTTTGTAGGCTGATATCTAAGATTCGTCATGTTGTTATTTTCCACTGGAAAAATTTGATATTTTGGAAAAATGATGAGGAAAATGAGCTTCTAATTTTCTTTTTCACATGCAAAAAGTTTCAAATTTTTCCCTTCACTAGTTTTCCAAGAATTGTATGAGACCGTCTTTCAATTAATTCAGTTTTTGTAGGCTGTTTTCCAAGATTCGCCATATTGTTATTTTTCAATGGAAAAATTTGAAATTTTGGGAAAATGAGCTCATATACTTCCTCTTTACATGCAAAAAGTTTCAAGATTTTTCCTTAATTAGTTTTCCAGGAAAACTTTGAAACGTGCGTGAAATTGTATTTTTAATTAATTCACTTTTTCTAAGTTGATTTCCAAGATTTTTCATGTTGTTATTTTCAATTGGAAAAATTTGAAATTTTGGGAAAATAACCTCCCAACCATCCTTTTCAAATGCAAAAAGTTTCAATCATTCCCTCAATTAGTTTTTCAAAAAAACTTTGAATTGTATGAGACTGTATTTTCTAAGGGGCAAACCACTTTGGAATTCTTTGCCAAAAATGTGGGGAATTGAGGTATAGGGAATTTGAAGAAATTTATGGGAAATTTGGAGAAATTTTCAGTGAATTTGGAGGAATTTGTGAGGAATTTAAAGGAAATTGTAGGGTCATGACGTCACTGAGTTTCACATTCTTATTATAAGAAACACTAATAATTGTAAATTTTTCTAGTTATGTGTTGGACGTTGGACATTCATTTCTATCAAAGAAATTCTCCCAAAATTTCACTTCATGATTTACAGGTTCAAATTTAAAGGAATACTTAAGGAAAAACCTTTTGGAATTAGATCCACTTAGACTTGAATGGATTTGAATGCTACATTCAAGATACTTACTGTTCATATTGGGGCCAAATTAGAAAATCCCCTAGTGAGAAAAAAATTATTGTTCATTAGAGGATGGAGATTAGATAATTTCAGTAGATCATTTTAATATGGGAATTGGAAAACACCGAGGAAAAACATAATAAAAGTGAACATTTATTAGTTAATTCTGACATTGTTTCAGAAGATAGGATGAACAAGGGATGAACCTTTCCAAAAGAGGTACAATATCTTCTTAAAAATGACCCTGAGTGCAAAGGAACTTTAAGCTACTTGAAGTTGATACAAGTTTTAAGTTTATATGTATTTGAATCCGAATATATTGTATCCTAGTATCATAATATATGGGAAAGAGGCTGAACGTTGAAAAAATGATTTATTTATTTTCAAATTATTGAAAAGGAAATTAGACACATTCATATGGCCTACTTAGCCTATGCTGAGGTTCAGATTCAATTTATTGTTTATGGTCCTGTAAACCTGTTCAACTTTTAGGAAAAGGTTCATTCTCCGGTCCATTTAAAATAAAAAGAAATAATATACCCTCAATATTGTGAAACAATATACATATCTAAGTTGTTTGAAATATCAAATGCAGGTTTAGGTTAGTTTAAACCTCAGTTTAAACCTCGGTTTAACCCTTGGATTACCGGAAACCAATCATTAGTTTTAGCTCTAAAGTCAACTAACTTAACTTTGCATTTGATCCTACTCGATAAACTGCTCTTGTGTTTTAACACTATAAGGGCCGGTCTATTCACCTTCTGATAAACTGTCAGGTAATCCAATCTGACGGATAAAACGCAATTTGTAATCCCATTGGTTGGCTAGTTATTCCTTGACCAATCCAATAAGATTATGAAATGGGTAAATTTATCTTATAGATAGTTACCAGCAAGTTTATGTGAAAATGAATAAACCAAGCCTATGCAAAATAAAAATTTAAAAAAATAAACTTATCACCAGCAATTATGAGAATTTTCAGGGAATTTGTAAAAGGCATTTGTGGGGAATTTGAGAGGAGTTTGCAGGAATTTGTGGGAATTTACAGGGAATTAAGAGGAATTTGGAGGAATTTTGGGAGAAAATGCGTAGAAAATTACCTTTTGAAGAATTGTTTGCACAAATTCTGGGGAGGTGGTTTACCCCTTGATAAAAGTATTACAGTAATGTGTAAAATGTAAGTAAATGATCATTTCTAGAAAACTACAGTGAATATTGTAGAGATGTTCGAAAATTTTGGTGAGAAATTAGGTAAAAATCTCTCAGAAATTCTGAAAATTATCAATTTTTGTTTCAGAAATGTTAGAAATTTCATAGGAAACTAGTAATTATTTGGGGAATTCCGGAAATTATTCAGGAAGTTTCATAAATAATTTGGGAAATTTTAGATATTATAGAAAATAGGTATTTATAAAAATTCTAAATATTCAGGAAATTTCGGAAATTATGGACAATATCAGAAAAACATTTCCAAAAAGGAAATAGGTGAACAAAATTTAACAGCGTGAGACACCCCTCGAAAATGCTGTTGGATTATATTTCATTATGTCCTGAGAGAAATAATTGTCACAAGTTCATTAGGAAATTGGCACTGGCATGCTACCTATGGAGCCAAAATTTTCCAACTTTGTACTGTCCGAAGCTCAATTTAGGGTCCATAGACCAAAATTAATGCGACTGAAATAACCTAAATACATATTTCCATATAATTTTTAGGATTACTTCATAATGATACAAAAATTGAAACTAAATTTTTACAAGTACTTGATTAGTTTTCTAATTAACATAATTATTAGCGACGTTAATTAAATGCGACCATTTTTTTTTTAATGGCCATTCGTTTATAACTAAAAACATCACGTAAAAACTTCCCATATAATATTTTTCTAGAATCCTGACGTCGTTGGTATAGACTTTTGAACCTTATTTTGCCAACCATCATACGAAAATGTTCATTTTTAGTTGGCCAGTTGAGTTTGTCCAATTTTATGGCTTTAATAGTGACAAAATTAATTAGGTAAGTCCCTATATATTGCTATTTTATACAAACAAAAGGGATATTTTCACGATGTTCTTGTCGCCAGTCAGACTCCGAAACTTGGAAAAAATGAGCTTGATTTTTACGAAAAGTGACTGAACCGTAGAATAATCAGAATGATAAAAATATAAAATGCAAAACTCCTCCACATATTAATCGTGTGTCAACATTTTTTTGACTCCCACATCAATGTTCATAGAAATATGAAATTTATTACAAGAGAAGATTTTTGGTTATTTTTGACAATTTCTTAAGATTATTTTCACTTGAGAACAAATTCCTAAAGTCATTAATGCGTTTGAGAATAATAAGTTTTTAAAATAAAAGAGATCGGGCCATTGATTGGGTCAAGGCAAAAGACTCATTATTATTATTGCCTCGAGAGAGAAAAAAATGTAATTTAATAGATCTAAACTTAATTTATATTCATATAAGTATTGTCTCATTTTATTTCATATAAGATATAAGTAAAAAAATATCACTTACCATTATAATATCCTGGTTTTTGTAGTGAAAGGAACAGGATTCGTCGTAATTGGTTCGACCTAGAAACCCCAATGGGAGTTTTTCAATTAGATGCTCTCAAACAATAAACACTAAATTGGTACGGTACAATTCAATTTCGGAGAAGATTACAAAATGTTTAATTTTTGTTTTGAGTAATTTGTTGGTCTATTGATTCCTTTGGAAATTCTTTTCAATTTCTTTAAATTTCTCTATCTATAAATACACTAACTACCTGTGTCAGAACGTGGTTAAAAGAAAAATGTTTGATATTTGAAGATTTTTCACTTAATCAATCAAAAAAAGATGGTTTTTTTTTTTGTCACACAGTATATAGGATACCTACTTACCTAAAGTTTGATCTTTCTTTGTCAATAACATATTGA